TATATATCAGAGTTTCCCACTCTTATTTTAGAACCACATGCATTGAGCCGTCAAAAACAAAATTATTTCATACATACAAGCCTGCAGATTCATAAATTGCGAAATATAGAATGCATCTTCACACCTTTATATTCGAAATCAAGATAGAATCACAGCGAGACCACTTGCCACCACTGCCCGTCTCGTCTGTACTCCGACTCGCTCAAACACGTCACCTTGTCCTATGTCATTCTTCGTTCAAGCATAAAACAAATCACAGACACAACCACATATGTATACACATAACTAGCCAAATCACAGACAAAACCACATATATATTCACATAATAAACTACTCAAATCACAGACACATATATATAGACATAATAAACTAACCAAATCACAGATACAACCAAATATATATATACATAACTAGCTCCATATACTAACGTGAACCACACACATATATATATATATACATTAGCTCCATATACGAACGTGCGCACCCACTTACCATCGCCTCCCATCTCCTCTTCTTCACTCTCCTCTTCCTCTTCCTTGTCACCGTTCTTGTACTCTACCTTCTTTCCGGCAATGAGCAGATCCAGCTGGCTGGTCAGCTGTCCCTTTGTGTTGGGCATGAACATCCTACAGAGAAAACATATCAGAGAATGAGAACCCACCATGAATACTGAGGTTGGAGGGTATTTGCGTATAGTAATAGATCGCACCCCAACGCAGAGAGACCAAGGGTGCGTCTGTACATCTTCCAATCTGTGACAATACACCGTGTTCACAGCGTATATATATATATATATATGTATGTATGTATGTATGTTGGAGCAATTAGCTATTGTATAACACGCAATATAGCAATCCACCTGTAACCAAACTTCCCTATAGCTTAACCAACAGACTAATACACACACAATCAAACCTCACACGCGAGAATGGTCAAAAATGACGAAATGCTGCCCATACCTTGAGAACTGTTCCCTCCACACGATAGTGCCGGACTTGTCTACCACGAACACCATGCCTGAGCCAATGGTCAGCAGATTAGCTAGGCTTTGGAACTCGCCACGCACCTTCTTGCCTTCATCGTAGGCCACGGGGTATGAACACTCCAGGTTGTCTACCTCAAGCTCCTTCATCTCTGTGCCCTTCTTGGATAGATAGCCCTCGACATCCTTCTTGCTTGGGTCGAGACAGACGCCAATGAACTGCACGTCCTTCTCGTATTTGTCGGCGACCTTGGAGAACTGAACGAAGGTCTTGTACTCGTCCTGTAGGGGTGGCGGTAGTTGGCAAGGATGGGATGTTAAGTACTCGCAATGAATGTGATGCGGTGGTATGTGCAATATACTACATACTTCATCGTACAGCTCTATATATATATATATATGTGTGTGTGTGTGTACACGTATATATATGTATATATATATGCGTGTGCGCATTCACCCGCAAAGAACAGATGTTAGAGAAAAACAATACCTTATTTAACACGACATAGTCCTTGTACACACAACAGTCGCGCACAATCTAAATTATACAATCGTTGGGTGTGTACCTGCACGCTTGCAGCGGGTGTAAATGTTGTCGTACACATTGCTGTACATAAGCCGCAAATAAAACAACTTCTTGAATAAGTGTTGTAGTCGTTTACCAGGGGAAGATGGATAACACATCATACTTATAACAGGCTACAAACAGACAGATATTTGGATACAGCTAAGTTAGATTACACACATATAAGACAACCCCGCATGCTAGCTTACAAGTGCCTGAGAAAGACCCCCGCCACACCATAGTGTAAACACTAACACACGGACAAAATCTAAGTACTCTTTTCCGCCATAATACACATGGGCATACTATGAACCCGGACGCAGCTAGCGATACATATGAACACACTAACTACTATGCAAAACTGCAAAGCAAAGAGAACAAAATAGCATGTGGTCCGCACGGTAAATATTCATGAATACTGTACTAATGGCTATACATAACGGGAAAAGACAATTATTTGGTTAGGTTCACAAGCATCGCATATACTTGTACAACCGTGACGTTAAAATTCGTCACGAGCACACACTGCTATGGGACAAGTCAAGATGCACCCTTTGTAACTTCTGTCGGTCATAAAGAATGCATACATATATGCAGTCGACAAAAAACCAGATAACACCATTAAATAACACTGATCAACAATAAATACAAGTACACACATAAACATCACTACAGTACAAGACAGACCTTGCTGATTTTGGACCAGAAAAGAACCACAGTAAGCTTCTCGCTGTATTGAAGAGCTTCTCCTTGAACGAACTCCAAATTCTCTAGAGAAGGCGCCTTCTTGCCGTGAGCAGCATCGTTGTCAAAGGTCTTTGCACTCATGGTGTGTGTGTGTATGTGTGTGTGTGAGCGTGCGTGTAACTGAGCATGAGTTCTAGTTGCGAGTAGTTGTTTATACCACTCCCCGAGTCCGCGTACTCCCATTAGCAACAACGATGAGTCCCAAAAATATGGTGCACGTGTCTGATTCGACAAAATTGGGTTTTGAGAAATATGCCGAATATGAATATTTTGAATCTGCAACACCATAAGTACTCTATGACCAAATTGCCAACCCAAAAATAAGAAGGTAAATTCGGAGAGAACCCGATTTCAGTGGGAAGCAAAGTCACGAACTATGTAGAGATTTTGGCACCGCTATACATAGCTGGACACATACTCGTAAATATGTACCGGCACACGGAATCACGATTACACTTGCACAGTTAAATACACGTTCATGAGTGCCGCACAGTGAGTGGTACGTATGCACCTCAGGAAACATCTATCTATCTACAATAAATATAATGAGTAGGACGGAATAGAACACACTTATTATCCCAGTTTATATCATCGGAGCATACTTGTGATGCAACAAAATACGTGCGACGAGGCGCTTGCGGTAGCATTGTATTCCGAGGTATGCTGAGCTTTATATATTTTGATACAAGCCAGTATTTTCCGCACAAGGGGTTTTGCGTGGTGACATGTACATAACTGACTGATGAGATCTTTTGTGACCTAATTGCATAAATCGTCACATGCTTCTGTTAGCACTAAAATATCAATAATAAACGTTCCGAGTTCCACCCCGCGATGTAAACACAAATGTTTTCAACTATGCACCAGTTCCTTTTCAATTGTAGCGCTGCTTACCTGATTTACCGATTACAGTATGCTACAAAGACAATTTCAGGGTTAAGAACGAATGTTTTATTGCAACAATCGTATTTATTATATTTTTTATGGATATATATATATATGTGTGTGTGTGTGTGTATGTATATATGTACATGTATATGTATATGTATATGTATGTATGTCTATATATATATGTGTGTGTGTCTGTGTATGTGTATATATGTATGTATGTATATTTACGTATTTGTATATGTATGTATATATGAATATATATATATATATACGTATATATGTATATATGGATATATATATATATGTGTGTGTGTGTGTGTGCGTATGTATATGTATGTATATGTATGTATACGCATACTTACATATCTGTATATGTATATGTATATATATATATATATATCTATATATATATATATATTATGTACATATATATATATATATATATATTATGTACATATATATATATATATATTATGTACATATATATATATATATAACGACAAATATGAAGATATAAACCTGCATACATATATGTATATATGTATATACATTTACATCCATACATACATACATACGAATATGCATACATACATACATACAATATTTATACATACTTACATATATATATATATGGGTGTGTATGTGTTTGTGCGTGTGTGTTTGTGCGTGGGTGCGTGTGTATGTTTGTGTGCGTGGGTGTGTGTGTGTATGTATGTATATATGTGTTGTGTGCGGGTTTATTGTTTTTTTTTCATCCGACACCGTATATTTAGCACCTCCGAAGCTGTATATGCGGCACCTAATTATGTAAACATCCATGGGTATCTCCATGTTAAAACTTGGTTTCTCGTCCCAAGGACTTCGAGAAATGGCCAAGCTTTTGAATAGCATATCCCGCATGTATATATATTGAAAGTTTTCTTGTTGTGACCTCCCAGTCTCAAGGTGTTTTTTCTGTTGATCTTTATATATGGGCATTGTAATTCATGCATATTGCTCATGAATCTGATGACATGCGCTTGCCATCCTGGTGGTACATCGCATCGTTGACATGGTCACCCCCATGCTAATCTTCTTTCTTTACACTCCTTACCCGTCTCAGTGCCCATTTTGCCGTTATTGAGTGACAGTTGTATATCTAATGCGCTCTGTTCCTTTTACTGTTAGTGATGAGTTTGATGCGTCTCACCTGATTACATGTACACGAAAATTCAAGTAAAACATACATGTGAGTGTTGGCACATTCCGTTACACGCGGACTGTCCGGGCTTTAACTCCTACTTGGAAATCTTCAGTGGCTTTAGTATAGTACGGACATTCCTGTTTGGACAACAGACCCCTTCACCTGTCACAGAATCCCAACACAATATCTTAGCAATATCTGCAGGATACGTAGCCGAGGCAGCGGTGACGGGATATGCCCTAAGTATGCACATTTGGCTTACGTTGTATCTATCCCTTCTCCTGTCATCTGCGTGTCTTATAGCGTGTCCAGACTCTGCTGCGGGCAATTAAAGTCATGGGGTGCGGTGCCCTGCGCAAAGGGATCTCGTGCCGTGTGTGTGACAAACCAGACGATCCGTACTACCAGGGTAAGGCGAACACACAAGGGTACTTTGATTCCAAACACAGGCGCGTAGTGCTCTGCTGCGAACAGATTGCCACACAGAAGGACCTTGAGGATACGTTGGTACACGAACTGGTGTGTCGGTGGTGGGCTTGCCACCTGTGAAATGTGTTTGTGCTACTTATATATTTGGGTTATGGACCGTGTATGTAGGCGAGTCTATTTGGTACTAAAGATTGTCTATATATCTGTAAACAAAGTCCCCACCTGAGGGCGTAAGAATCCCTTGCACGCTGTCGGTTCGCCATATCCGTGCCTGTATCACATTTGTCTCGTGCAGTATTGACTTGCCTTAGCTATTCAACGTCTCAGATGTTAGCTACTCTGACTCCCAGTTGGTTTGCCCAGTCCTCAGTTGTTCTAGCACTCACACGGCACAGGTCCATGCCTTCGACAGCTGCCGTTCGCCAGGTTTCCAGAAAGTTGCTGAATTGCAGGCGTGCAGCGAGATCCGCGCATCACATCTTGGGCAATGTCAAGGTAGGCAACGCACATGTGTGTCACCACAAAACATATGATATACACACACGCGGTGGTATGACCTACTGCCCATAGCATGAATACACCAGCACAGCTGCATGTTGACATCTCTACAAAATTCTAACCCCTAAACCACTAAAGCCATGTCAAAGTATATAGTAAAACGCTCAGTATTTGGACAATTATTCACATATCTTAGGATGTTCTAAAGCCGTAACCCCCTAAAGCCGTGTCTCAGTATATAGTAAAACGCTCAGTATTAGGACAAGTATTCACCTGCCTTAAGATGTCCTACAGCCCTAAACCCTTAAAGCCATGT